ACCTGGACAAATTGACCACTACAGAGATTATGAAAAATGAATGTACATAAGTGTGTCATGTCAAGCAACTCTTTACATTGTATAGCCATTAAAGTAGCCAACAAGCTGGAAGATGTTAAGTGGGAAGATATTATACCTGATTTCTCCTGAATCTCCTAACCAGATTCTGAAAGAAAAATGATTAGAGCTCTGGGAGAAGGGATGGTCTAAACTATAAGATATTGTGAAGTTACTGATATGCTCTCTTCACTTGCACTTTACCCTAAAACTTTCTGGCTATTTCATCTGCAAGAGACTCAAAAAGTAGTCTTGTTATTTGTTCTTCTTTCTTCCATTATTCTTGCCTACACCTTACTACTCCACCTCTATCCTAAGGGATTATCAATCTATTTTTTGTTTCATAGGCAGGAATTCTATAGCCATGTGACCCAGGTTTTATGCTTGTACCCCTTCCCAACTCCATAAACATACAGAACAATTATAGTTGAACCGTGAAAGAAAACCCAAAGGCTAAAGACTCCTTAGACGAGAAACAAAGATTCCATAATCAAAACACTACTTTGTGCCTCATAAAGATATACAATTATTATTTGTCAATTGAAAGTAAAATTTTAAAAGAACACTGATTTTTAAAAAGATATGAAAATGAAAATTCTTTATTTGACTGTGTTGGGGAATGCTGTCCTGATTCGGAGGCCCAGTCTCTTCTAGTGCTTGGGTATCAAATTGGCGTATTTGCCTCTCAACTCCTGTGGCTGTGGGTATGTGTGGCAAAGGCAAAAACAGGTCACACATGGATTGCAGTTACTATGTTTTAAGTGTACTTTTATATCTAAGTTAATTCTTATAACAATCCTATATAGCATGCTCTTATTATTTATGTTTTGCAGATTTAAAAAACTGAGTCACACTGAAGTTCATAGCTCTGAGTGGCAAAAGCAAGATTCAAACTATAGCATTCAGGCTTCTGAGTCCTTGCTCTGAGGCCTTTGTAATAATGCTAATTAAATGGATTGTGATATTAGGGACAGAAATTAACACACTATGACAACGCATACATGCTGGAATGTGAGAAGACACATACAGTAAAAGGAAAATAATTTACATTTCCTTTTCCCGATTAAAGGTAATAATCTCCTTAAACTTGGAGAATTTTCTCATTTTCTTAAATTGTTTTTGAAAATATTAAATGATTTCTTTTAACCTTTGTGTATTTTTATAATATAAATAATTGTTCCCCTGTTATTACAGATTAATAATTTCTTAAAAAATTATCAAAGGTAAAGGGGGATATCTATATCTCGATATATTGAGAGAGAAATACATATTAATATTCTGAGTCTGGCAATATAGTTAAAGTGAAGGCTTTGGGAAAATGTTTTTATTACATTGATAGTTATCATTCTGTCTTTCTGAAACTCATTTACAAAAAAAAAGTTATTCAGATGCAGGGTTTCAACAAAACCACTGTGGTGACACAGTTCATTCTGGTGGGTTTCTCCAGACTGGGAAGGTTCCAGCCGCTGCTTTTTGTCGTGTTCCTTCTCCTGTACTTAACAATCCTGGTGGCCAATGCAACCATCATGGCTGTTATACACTTCAGCCGGACTCTCCACACTCCCATGTATGGTTTTCTATTCATCCTTTCATTGTCTGAATCCTGTTACACTTTTGTCATCATTCCTCAGCTGCTGGTGCACCTGCTCTCAGCCACTAAGACTATCTCCTTTGTGGCCTGTGCCACCCAGCTCTTCTTCTTCCTTGGCTTTGCCTGTACCAACTGCTTTCTCATTGCTGTGATGGGATATGATCGCTATGTAGCTATTTGTCACCCCCTGAGGTACACACTCATCATGAACAAAAGGCTAGGGTTAGGGTTAATTTCTCTATCAGGAGTCACAGGTTTCTTTATTGCTTTAATGGCCACCAACCTCATCTGTGACATGGATTTTTGTGGTCCCAACAGGGTCAATCATTATTTTTGTGACATGGCACCTGTTATCAAGTTAGCCTGCACTGACACCCATGTGAAAGAGCTGGCTCTATTCAGTCTCAGCATCCTAGTAATCATGGTGCCTTTTCTGTTAATTCTCATATCCTATGGCTTCATAGTTAACTCTATCCTGAAGATCCCCTCAGCTGAGGGCAAAAGAAAAGCTTTTGCCACATGTGCCTCACACCTCACTGTGGTCTTTGTTCACTATGGTTGTGCATCCATCATCTACCTTCGGCCCAAGTCCAAGTCTGCCTCAGACAAGGATCAGTTGGTGGCAGTGACCTACACAGTGGTTACTCCGCTACTGAATCCTCTGGTCTACAGTCTGAGGAACCAGGAGGTGAAAACTGCACTGAAAAGAATTATCGGAATGTCTGTGGCAACCAAGATAAGCTCACAAAAATTTAAAAATTGACTAGAAATGTCAAGGAAGAAAAGGCATGAAATTTTCACCGACCTTTTAGGCATAACTTCAACAATGTTTCCAAGCACTAAGAATACTGTTGCCTTTTTCTCTTCTTCTATACCAGAAAAAGTGAAAGTGAATCTACCTGCTCCATTGTCTGATGTCTGGTTTAAAATTTTTAAGAAGAAAGAGATAAAAGTAAAAAAAAAAAAAAAAAAAAAAAGAGAGAGAGAGAGATTACACTTGGCAAAAAGAGAAAAGCACGAGAGTTTTTCAAAAGAAGACACAACCAAAAATGAAAATCAGGCAAGGATTGCTTTTCTGGTTGGATAAAGCAAACAGGGTCTAAAGAGGCTGAACTGTCTTATCCAGAATACATTTATCTAGTGAACCAACTATGTATCAGACCCCATGCAAAGTGTAAAAAATAAGATGAATAAATTGATAGTTTACAGAGGTGGGGGAGTAGGTAGATAGAGAGACGAACAATAAAAAAAAAAAAAAGAACATGATAATGCAAGATAATAAGATATGTTAAAAGGATACAAATAAGGATCATGAGAATCAAAGGGCAAGTGTTTATTCCTTCCAAAATAGAAAAAGGTTTGCAATAAGTAGGATGAGAAGAGGAAAGAGAACATTTGAACTGGGACTTAAAGGGAGAATGAGATTTCAATACCAAGGAACTGGATTTTCCAGTGACAAATATAAATCAATATTATCAGAATCATTGATTTTTTCAAAATTTAATACTAGATTTTTATCACATTAATTACAAATTTAACAACTTTTCTGTGTATTTTTTGCTTTGTTTTCATATAGAAATATGTTTATGTTTTTCAGCAGATGTAATTTTATTTTAATAATGGACTAAATATAAGTAATAATGACATCTTCATGTTTGCTGCTCAAGTGGAACACATGTTCTATAGGGAAAGAAGTGGATGTAGTCTTTCAGTTAGCCACCCTACGACAATCAGAATGTAAAACTTATATGAATCTAACATTTTATTGTAATAATTTAAAATTTAGACCATAAATTCTAAACAGAATTGATTTTAAATCTTACCTCTATTGTTTTCAAGCCATGTAATTAGAGAAATTTTATTTAAAACTATTGAAATTAATGAGACTTGAATTTTTTCATCTAGACAACTGAGTGGTCTTTTTTTTTATGTGAATGCGTGAATTTTCTAGTTAGCACAGCTCTTGTCTTCTAGTTGGGAAAGTCAATTACTGTTAATTATGCCTTTTCTCTGCCCTGTGACTCAACCTATACTAGAATCAAAACTTCTTGATTTATTAAATGTTGCATCACACAAATGAAAAACTATATTGTTATTACTTGTATGACTATAATAATTACATACAAACAAGGAAAATAGTTTTGTACAGCAGATTAACTAACATGTTCCATTCCCGGTATAAAGTGCCGGGACAGATTCCCATGGCATAATGAACAATCTTGTCTAATTGTTACTTTCTAGTATGCCTGTATATTTCAGCCCTTACAAGTTATATGTGTTTGTTTCCAAAACTACTTATAATAACTGCATTTATTATTCTATTTACTCTTCCTATGAAATTCAATTTTGTACTATGTAGCTTGGTGAAGTATGATTGCAAAATATTGTTTCTAATACAGCTAAAGTAACTGTTTTGGAAAGAATAAATATGAGCAAGAAAATAAAACTATAAAAATCTAGAAGTGTTATTTAGTTGGATTATTTTGCAAGTGTCTCTAAGTTCTTGCTCATCTTTAAACTCACCAGAATTTATCTAATGCATTATATATTCTAGGCATACTATGAAGAGTGCCAATCAAGTAGTCCAATACTCAAAGTAAAATCGTTATCCCTACCTAAGAATATTTGTAAATATATGTATATTTAAATGTTTTGAGTTAAAATAAAACATTTTAGCTACATGTGAGTTATTCTTTTGATTTTCCAATCTGTCTGGAAAACCAGACAGATTGGTGGGCCCTATTGGGTCAGGTTAGAGGGCTTCAACTACATGTTTTTAATTATATAAATAAGTATTTCTCTGTTGGTAAGGATAGGAACGTATTATGAAAAAAATAAGAGTGAATTGTGTTTACAAGGTGGGTGTAGATTTGATTCATTTTTTTCTTAAAAACTCTTTAAAGCCATATAATTTTATGAATTGCTCTACAACTCAAGTTGCATGTGCAGTTACAACTATTGTTTTTCCAAGTTATCTCTCAATCTCCCACACGCCTTGTAAGCAAGAAATTCACTATTTCCTTCCTGAGGACTTCTACCCTGAATTTTTCAGAAACCCTGGGAATTTACACATTTAAAAAGCAGCCAGAGAGATTTCCACACCAAAGCAGAGAGAGCTGGTTCCCTATGTGCTGTTGGTCTTTCCCACCACCCACAATATCATTAGTAGGGCTGTTCCTATATGACTGACAGGCAGTGCTGGCTCACTCACTCATTACAGAGGGCTTCCTAAGTGGCTTGGTTCTCTGAAGGATATTAATCTATTTCCCCAGACAAATTGAGTCTCTTTCACACCTTTATTCCCAGCTTCTAGTTTTGTGCCTCTTTAATTTACATCCACACCTCTGACCTGTTCTACCAGCTGCCTCAGAAACACTGAGTCAGAATTTGTTCTTTTGTGCAGGCATCTCAGACCCCAACCTGCCATCTCTTTTCTCCATGAGGATTGCGCTTAGTACATCGGAGCTTTTTCTTTCAAATATTCAAAAAACAAGAGATCTAATTACCTTTTCTTTCCCCGAACAATGGGACAAGTCACTTCTAAGGCAAAATACCTTTGCAACCCCAGGGTTTCTTCTGTGACTTTTTCAAGTCCACCCACCCACCTAAGAAAGTTGCTTCCATTGATTTGAAGGTAATTTTCTCACTAGAAAAGTAGGGAAATTAAAGAAAAACATTTTTAAGGTTAAAACTGGTAGTACACTTCCTCTGGCAGGACACTCCCCACTATCTGTGATCTTTTCGATAATAAACCATTAAAATAAAAGTTTGTAAAGGAAGATTACCTAAAGTGTTCTGTAAAATGTTACCTTTAGCAAGAATACTAGTTTTCAGGAAAATATATTTGCTGTCTCCAGTAAGTAGTCTAAGAAAGTGTCTGTTATATGTCTCAAAAAGGAAAGTTACTAGATAAAAGAAATAAGTTCTGGTGGTCTACAGTAGCGATAGGCATCTATAATTAAAAACAATTATTATTAATATGTTCTCAAATGGCTAGAAGGAGCTCAAATGCTCTAATCATAAAGAAATAAATTTTTGTGGTAATGAATATGCTTACTACCCTGGTTTGATCATTACACATTGTGTACATGTATTGAAATATAACCCTGTACCCCATAAATACATATAATCAATACATGTCAATTAAAAATAAATTTTTAAAATTTTAAGAAAAAAGGAAAGCCATGGTTTTCTTTTTCTTTGAAATGATATGAATATCAGATTTACTGTGGGAAAAGAATACGCTTTTTTGACAGAAGAGATTGTAAGATTTTCAATTTGTTGTTTGTGTCAATTATTTTTTCTGAAATCACGCATTAATATAAATGTTGATTATTAACATTTTCACAAAAATATGGGTATTTACTTTGACCATTTTCAAATGTAAAAGGATCTTTTGAATATTTATTATCCCCAAAGTAAAATGTATTTTTAAAAAACATTCCTATTTGCATAGTATAAATTAGTTAATTATTTTTACAACTAATAAATATAACTAAAAGAACCGGAATATTAATAAAGTAAAAACCTTTTCATGCTACAGCACGAATGTCAGAACAGAATTATGGACCTTTTAGCAAGTAATCATTTTTATTAAATAAAGAACCCCTGGCTTACTACTGGTCTTTGGGGACACCAGGTCAGATATCTGATGTCACAAAACTGTTCATGCTCAAAAACTTTATTCGTTAATTAGAAGAAGTATATATGTAACTGGGATAGAAAAACCCAGATATTCCAAATCCATTATATGAGCATATAACTTGCACCCACAGAATTCATATTTTTAAAATCATACTCCTACTCTTCTTTCAGTCTGCAAGTATACATTAAAGGAATGTCCCCATGACCATATGACTGGGCATGAAAATCCCTAAGTCTGGTTAGCAGATACTTCTGCTTGCTATATCAAAACCAAGAGGAAGTGGACTCTGTGGTCACTCAGAGATGGACCTGAATCACCAGAGGGAAGATCTTCAAGCAGACTATGTGTTTTCCCACTTTGCTTGGGTAAAGAGACAGCCAGGGGTCAGGATCACATCAAACTCAGGAAAGTTGCTATGGTCTTGCCAAATTATTAGAGACCTGGAGAAAAGGTCCGACCATTGGTAACAAGGCTATTGGGAAAGATAGGTAAAAAAAAAAAAATACCTCTAAGGACACTCCATGAATATAAATATAATTGAATCTACATATATGTTCATCAGTAGGACCTCAATGCACAAAATGATCTTCATAAACCAGTAGATATGGTAACCTACTCTTAGACTATCAGTCACACTCCTTCCCAGACAAACTAGTGGGTATTAAAGGGGATGATGAACAAAGTGGGTATATTAGCAGTGGCGGGAGCTATCTGTGTACTTGGTGATACATTTATTTTACCTCCTAAAGGCTCACCTGGCTAGTGCTCACTGCTAGATGCCAGCATTAATTAGCCCTAAATTTTTATTTGTTTTTTCTGTTTGTCACAACTCTACCTTACACTTGCTGAAGTGACCTATTGAGAACTTAGTATGGCACCAAGTTCGAAAAAACATCTTGAAACAGAAATGTGCCATCTTGTAGAAGAAACATGATTTGAAACAGGAATCGATATATGGTGGTTGGGTTTGTGGGAAACCTTGAGTGAGAAAGACAGAGCAACTCTCAATATTTAGCCTCCAATTCCATCCACTATATTTGCTTCTCAACCTTTTGTCTTCATCTTAACCCAGTTCTCTACTGTTGTCTAGAATTTTGGGTCCAAATGAAGAGTAATCC